GTCCTCCCTCCCCGCTGAAGTGAGAAATTCACAGCTAAGGGTGGAGAGTAGATGAGGAGGAACGACATTTAGAGTGGCTTCTGAAAATTCTGTCGCACACACACACACACACACACACACACACACACACACACATTTTCCCTGAATACTCTGAAAAAAATAATGCCTGCTCATGTCCCAAATTGATCTCAAATAAACATTAGCTTATCCAGGAAAATGTCTTTGAACATGGAAAATAAATGAGGAATAGATTCCCAGTTCTTCCGAATTTTTTTCTTCCAGAGATTTTCCCAACCCCCTGTCTCCCTCTCGTCCTCTAGCAGGGCCTCCACCCCAGGCTCTTGGTCTCCCACTGAGCTACACCCTCGGCCCTGAAAGCTCTCATTTTAAAAGTCAACTTTTCAACCTCAAATAGTAGGAAGTTTGAAAAGCCGCATTGAAAACAAGTTGTTCTGATATCTATAATGAAATATGATCAAAAAACAATTGTTTAATTTGAGGATTGAAAGCAAGTTTTAAAAGAAACTCCGTTTAGAAAGTAGGGCACACAATAAAAAAATAAACGACAGTGTATTTGCATTTTATTTACTCTACATAGGCATTTGGCATCTCTCCCATGGGATACGGCACGGCACGTCAGACACACAGGTAAGAAATAAACTTTCCGAAATTAAAATTCTACTTATATTACATATCTATTTCAGGAAGACATGGAAACTTGAGCATTTTTGCGCTTAACTTTGGAATACTTGCAGTTCCTAAGGAGTGAAAAAAGGGAAACATGCTTTGCATTGGAGATTGTGTTTTCCTTGTTTTTCTTCGAATACCACACCGGAGTACCGACTCACATTTCCTCTAGAAATGTGCAAATCGGAAAAGCTGCGGAAGCCACAACGGAAGCGGGAAAAGAAAAGGTGACGGCCCAGGTCTTTACTCGTCCGGGTTTACGAGAACAGAATACAACTGTTCTCTGTAGCTGTTTTGTACCGAACAGAAACGGGTGGCTGCTCTGTGCGGGCCTAGTGGGTAGGCGCTGCGGGGCGGGGCGGGAAGTCCCCTTCCACCGGGCTCCAGGTGCGCAGGGCGGAGTCGGCCCGCTGGCAGGTGTGGGTGTGGGTGCTACTCAAAAGGCTGTCGAGGTCGCCTCTCCGCCCGAAGGGGTGACCAACGCTGTCAGCCTAGAGCCTTCAGCCTCCGATGGGCACCTCAGCAGGGCCGCCACCGCGGACAAGTGGCGACCCAGCAGCGTGCTTTTGCCGGGTGCGCAGCCACTGGCACAGTGCTGCTGCTGCTGCTGTTCCTGCAAAATCGTCCGGGCGGCGGCGGCGGACACGTGCAGCAAGGGGGCAGCGGCCTGGGGATGCAGCAAGCACGACGGGCGCTGGAGCAGGTGGCAGTAGCCCCACGGCGTCTGAGGCAGACTCTGCGCCGCCCTTGTGCTGGCGCCTTGCATGATACTCTCGATGCTGAAGGAGGTGCACCCACCTCCGCGCCGCGTCGCCGAGCCGGAGCCCTCCGCCCAAGGCTGGGAGCCCTGCGAGGGCTGCAGGGCCAGGCGGGTGCCGGGGGTCCCCAGGTCCGTGCCTTCAGCTTTCCTGGCCCCCTCGGGGTAGGCGGGAGCGGAGAGCAGCAGGTAGCGAAGGGGGTGCGGGTGCACCAGAGCGCAAGAGCGGCTCCCGGGCCTGGGCTGCGGCGGGCCGGAGGGTCCCAGCTCGAGGCCCGGGTGGGGGCACTGTAGGGTGGCGGGAGCCGCGGGCAGGGGGAAGGGGTGGTGCAGGTGGCCTCCGGGGGCCGGTTGGTGGCGCTTGAAGCGCTTTCTGCGCCGGAGGAAGCTGCCATTGTCGAACATGTCCTGGGAGGCGGGGTCCAGGCTCCAGTAGTTGCCCTTGCCCGGGTGGCCCGGCTCGCGGGGGATCTTGACGAAGCAGTCGTTGAGCGAGAGGTTGTGGCGGATGCTGTTCTGCCAGGCGGGGAACTTGCGGCGGTAGTAGGGAAAGCGGCCGCTGATGAAGGCGCAGATGCCGCTGAGCGTGAGGCGCTTGTGCGGGCTTTGCAGGATGGCCATGGTGATGAGCGCGATGTACGAGTAGGGGGGCTTCGGCGGCTGCGGGGGGTCTCCAGAGGCCGCCACAGACCTCGTCGGTGCCTTGAACTCGCGGCCAAACTCCGCGGAGTCGCTTGGGCCGCCGCCCTCGGTGCGCGTCCCCGGCGGCCCCGGCCCACGCTGCTGCTCTAGGCACTTCTGGCTCCTTTCCGACTCCTCGTCTTCCTCCCCCGGCTGCTCGTCTTCATCTTCCTCCTCTCCCAGGACGTCGATCTCGCCATCTTCTCCATCGGAGCTTTGGAGGCTGGGCTGCGGCGCGGAGCGCAGGCGTTCAGGTCTCGGGAGGCTCATGAAGAGCAGGTGCCGGGGACCGGGCGGGCGCCGCTCCTCACCTGCGGCGCGCACTGTGCGCCCCGCGGTTTCCGAGAAGCCGCAGCGCTAGTGTTTTGATTTGGTTTCTCCTGTTTCCCAAACCGCCCGGCAAGGATTCGCTTTGCCTTTTATTGAAGCTGCTTGGAGACACTGTTGCTGGACTCCCCCCTTTATACCCTTCTAGCCCTACCTCAGAGCGGGTCGCTTCCTCCTGACGCGGTCCAATGGTGAGGGTCCGCCGGCAAACACCCCACAGGGCAAGGGCGCGCGGCCCCCTCCTCCTCACACCCGCCGGGTGCCACCGAGGAAGACTCTCCGCTCTAGGGGTTTAACCAGCCAACTGGCCCCAGCTTTGCCTGGACTGTTACTGTGCTTTTAAAAGGGAGCAAATAGAACAAGAAAGGAAAATAGGATTCCCAACCATGGCTACCTTGGCTTTTAGACTTCTCCCCTGAGGACAGAATTCCGTGGCAGGGAGTGGGGGCCCTGAAATATATCGGCGTTTGAAAAAGAACATGTGGGAATAAATGGGTATTTTCGTGTTCCATACATGGTTAATCGCCCATTTTCATTGGTGGATTCTGTCCTTATACAGAATGTGGCATGAATTATTTTTAATGTTCTCACTTTATGCCACGGGCCAGAAGGAATGTCTCATTGTCCTTACTGCCCTCCACACAAATGCCCCCAGTGCTCTCCCTGACTCAGGTTTTCAGAAAAGGCTGACGTGCCCTAGCACTAAATTGTGGGAGTTCAGGGTGACGTGAAGGCAGGAGGGCCAAGGAGGTTTCCCCTACCCCCTTAACAGGGGTGATGCTCCAACTTCTCTCAACATTCTGCCGCGGTAAGGAATACACTTACACCATACCATACACCATACACTTTGCACACACAGGGGTATGTGGTTAGAATGGGTTCCAAAAAACAATATACTTCCACTACAGTGATCACTGGTATTCTCCCTCTTAATGGTCACGGCCAACTAAATTGGTTTCATCACACAAATCTTGTTTTCACAAACTGGCCCAAAGACTGTGCCTAAGTGTACATTTGAGGACTTGCCCTCCTTTTTTTCTCTCTTCAATCAAGATCATTTCAGAAACTTGAAACACTTTTAGTATAATAAATATAAACCCTGAAAGTTCAATTAAGAAATCCTGGGTTGCAGTGTCACTGTCACTCATTAGCTGTATCACTGGCTTGAACTTTATAGTTCTGTATAGGAGCAGGATGATGGCAGCTCTGTTCATTCACCTTAAATCCTTGGAAGTAACAGGATTTCCTTATTGGCTTCATTTGAGTTAGTTCAAAGTCTTTAGTGACACCACTGAAGTAGAACACAACGTTATATAAATAGGGATCTTATGGTAAAATACTAGGCTGTGGTACATATTTACAATTTGAAATCCACCTACTTGGGAAAAATTTTGAGGTGGTATCCAATAAAATGTAGCATAAAAGAATGTCATTGTTATACCATTGCTTGTCACCTAGTAAATCTTCCATTAATGTTTGTAAAGTGACCGTGAATTTTCAGTGAGACATCAGAAGCCATCCATAAGTGCAAAATCTATCAAGAAGTAGCTTCACACCTTTAGAATTAAAAATAGTTTTAAATAGCTAGTGGCTCCAGGATAAAATTTAGAGAAAAACTTCCCTTGAAAGCCTTTTTTGTTCATGTTTATCCTCCCTCTAAGGCTCTCTAGTTATATGCTGTTTGAAGAGGAAGAAACACAAAGTTTGAGCCTAACAGATTTGTGTTTGGATCCCAAATTTACCAAGGACTATTTGTGTGCTCTTATAAAGCAAGCTTCAGGAGGGCTGGGACAGGTGTCTCATTCAACCTGATACTCCCTGGCACCTCCCCTTAACCCCCTGCAGAAGAAGCAGTTCCTTCTATCAGCAAAGAAATCCGATTACCTTGGAAAGGAAGTATTGTTAGTTTTCCTAAAATCAACTTCTGTGGTGATTTGGGTTATTTACAAGTGAAAGGATGTAAAGACTGTGACCCAAAATGGAACAAAAACCAACACTGAAGGTTGTATGTCAAAGGGGTTCCAGGAAAAAACTAAGCCCTATGGTCATAGCTGGGACACTTTGAACAACAAAATAGTGTTGGATTGTAATCCAAAATGTAAATGCGTCCACAAAAACAAATGAGTAAATTAATAAAGGGGGGATTTTTTGCAGAATCCCAAATATATTATGTAATTGCTGTGCCCTCAAGGACCTGTTAATCAGTGTGGGCTGCACAGTGCTCTTCCTTCTAAAGAGGACATTACTGGGAGGGGGGATTTCCACTGGAGAAACCTGCCAACTTCAGCCAGGTAATCAAGGCCAACATCAATAATCACAAACCAAGTTTGTGACAGGTGCCTTTATTGACTGGATGAAAATGATACTCTGGTCCTCCTCCAGTCTTAGTCTAATAAAGAGAAAAACACGAAACAAATTCCAATAGAAGAGCATCCCGGGTAACTGTCATTTCTCCAAACGATCACCAAAGATCATCAAAACAAAAAACTTGTCAGAGTCATGAGGAATCTAAGGAGACATGAATATTAAATATAAAGTGCTATCTTAGATGGGATTCTCAGAGAATAATAGGTAAAAACTAAGCATAGGACACAAACTGGACTTAGTAAGAATGTATCAGTACCGGTTCAGATTGCAATATGCCACATCATTGAGAGATGTTAATAGTGGGGGGGTATTAATGAGGAAACTTATCTGCTCAACTTTTCTATAAATCTAGAACTTTCTTTTAAAATTAAAACACAAGGGGGGAATCTAAGAATTTCTAAGAGGAAATTCAAGATAGCTGAGTGGAAAAACAAAATGTGATATATCCATACAGAATACTATTCAGCAATAAGCATGGAGTATTGATACATATACCATCATTTTTTTTTTTTTTTGTACCGGGAATCGAACTTGGGTCCTTGTGCTTGAGCAGCAGGCGGCAGAACCACACTGAGCTAAGTCCCCGGCAAGCATGGAGTACTGATACATACTACAATATGGATGAACCTTGAAGACATGGTAAGTGAGGAGTGTTAGGATCTGAATTTTTAAAAAATGTCTCTCGAAAGGCTGGGTTCAGAAATGAGACATTTGGAAGGTGATCAGATCATAGGGTTGCTAACTTCAACAGTGGATGAATCCTGAGATGAGTTCATGGCTGAATCTGGTTAGGAGGTGGGGCCTGGTTACAGTAAGTAGGTCAATGCAGGCGGAACCTGGAAGGGTATATCCTTATTCCTAGCCTCTTCCCCTCTGGCTCTCTCATTCTGCTTCCTGGTTGCCATGAGATGAGAGCTTTCCTCTGCCATGCTCTTCCACCGTGATGTTTCTGCCTTGGAGCCAGCTAGCCATGAACTGGAACCTCTGAAACTATAAGCCAAAATACACCTTTCCTCTTTTAAGCTATGCATATTCCAGCAACAGAAAGCTGGCTAACAAAGTCTAAATAGACAAGTCTACAGAGAAAATGATTTGTGGAGGCTGAGGTAAGGGGAAATGGATACAGGGGTTTTTGTAGGGTGGTGAAAATGTTCTGGAATTAGATACTGATAGTTATCTATTTGTGAAATAATTTAAAAAATGAATTGTATTACTTTACATGTGTCAATTTTATGGTTTATCAATTATATCTAAATATGGGTTGTCATTCCAAATATATCAAATATTAAAATGAGGAGCTGTAGCAATGAAAACTTAGTTGAATGCTTTGGAAAAACTAATGGCACATCACTTGAAACGGGGGAAAAGTAAAGAACTCTTATTGTCCTAAACCATCAATTCCATAGTGTTGCTTTAAGAACAAGTCTTACCTAGCGCCTGCCTTGCAAGCACAAGGTCCCGAGTTCGATCCCCGGAACCAAGAAAAAGTCTTACCACGTAGCTCCTGAAACAATTAACATGGGGCCTAGTACATACTGGACACTCAATAGTATTAACTTTTTTCCTAAGATTGAATAGTTTTGCTGTTCCAGAACTAATATGCTAGTCTGAAATCAAACCTTTCTAACTTAAACTTCATGATGATAATGTCTGTTTTCTCTCCACTTCACCCTAAAAATTAAGACAATTTGACATAGGCTCAGAGAGATACAGTAATTTATCCTGTACCCCACAGTAAACTATAGTTTCAGATGAAACATGCCTAAACCTTGATCATCATGATCACCATGATACCCTGCAAGTCTGCAACAAACCGAATGGCTCTCATCCTCATCACATTGCAAAAATAAAACCTCTTCCAGACAGCTACAGGTTTGAAAGTGCCCTGGAGATACAGGTAAAACTCTGGCTCTGATCATTTGAAATATTTTATTTTGGTAAAAATAAGAACAGGACAATATACACCCTTCAAGGAACAAAAACAATGTAAAGTACAGTATAAAATAAAAAATAAAACTGAGATATCAGTCATTCAGAGTGACAAAAGTTAAAATGTGCTGGGTTTTGGAAATGGATGCTTTCATACACTGCTGAATAAAGGTAAAAGGTATATCATTTGGAAGGGCAATGAATCTCTCTTAAAATTTTACATGTGCATTCCTACAAGCTGGTGATCAATTCTAGAGAAACATTCATATCTAGAGGCATGACGATTGCAGCACCATTCACAATTTCAATTATAGAAACTGGTTTATCTGCCACACCACACCCAAATCACTGCCAGGCTTTAAACCCCCTAAGTCACTCCCCCACTGTATTAAGAATAATCCAAATGTTTACTCTGTCCTACAAGAAATGACAAAATTGGTCTCAATTTACAACTCCAGTTTCATCTCATGCTCTCACTTTCTAACCTCCTGCCACCCTTGCCTTCATCCCCACTGGTACCCACTTCAGGGGCTTCTATAGGACTTAGTTCCTCTATGGAGAACCTCTGTTCCTGCTCTGTATGAACGACTTTGAGGGGAGGGTGTTACTGAGACAGGGTCTCACTATGTAGCTCAGGCTGGCCTCAAACATGCAATCCTTCTGCCTCAGCCTCCTCAGTGCCAGGATGAATGACTCCTTTTGATTCAGTTTTCAAATGCCACCTTTGCTCAGGTGCCTGGCATGAGCACTCAGAGCCTAAAGTCATCTTTATTTATCAGCCTGCTTAAGGCTTGCTATTTTCTCACATATGTCCCTTCACCAGACTGAGCAATGTGATAACCTGTCTTTTATCTGTGTGCTAGTTCTACCCTTGCATTAATACTTATGTAAATTCCTAGTTCCCTATAAACTTTTTAAAAAAATGACTGCCTTCTATACTATATTCTGAAGTTCTGTGCAGCAGTTAAGATGGACTTATATCAGTCATAGAAATATCTAAGACTAACAGTTTTTAAAAGCAAACTATTATATAAAGAATGTTTCATTTAAAACACACACATAGAAATAAAGCCATAAAGATACCTATGACAAGTGTCTATGTTTCCTGAAAAAGCATCCTATAGTATGGCTATGATCCTTGGAAAATAATTCACTTTGTGAAACACAATGTACATGTAAATGAAAAGAACTGTCTGAAGGGACAAAAGACTGACTTAATCCTAAGTGATGGATGATGCAAGGGAATCAGGGAAGACCAATTTCAGCTGTAATATTTGCATTTTTTGAGACAAAAATGTGTCGATGCAATAGATATGTAATAAAAACACTTAAAGATTAATTTGATACATTTTAAAGGAAAAATATTCATGAGTCTTACAAATGCAGATTTTCAAGAGTACAGATTACTTTTTTGTTTTTTCCAGTACAGGGGACTGAACTCGGGACCTTGCACTAGGCGAGGCAGGCGGTGGAACCACAGCTAAATCCCCAGCCCAAGATTACTATTATTTCCAACATTTCTTCCAAAACAGGGAAACTAATTATAAGCCCCTTTTTGTGGTTTGGAAGAGATAGATCTAGACACTTAATATCTGTCAAAAGATGTTACTGTCATTGTGACCACATTAATTATAAATCTGAATTAGGAAGAAAAAAATATGTAAGTTCTACTTACATACAAGCCAGAAGCTGTTTTGAGTACATTATAAACCTATTTTATCCTTGAATGGTTGATATTTTATTATCCACTTTATAAATAAGGAAACCAATCTCAGATTAAAAACTTAGCCAGCTAAAAAGCAACAACGCTAGAATTAAAGCCCAAATCCATCTTGAAAAATCAGTGGATTTTCTATTGAGCAATTCACTGTCACAAAATAAGCATAATTTCTCAAACATAAGCTAAGGCAATGGGTTCAAGAGGCAATAATTAGGTGCGTACAGAGAAGCTAGATTTTAAAAGCACAGAAAGATCAGAATGATTCAAAGAAGGCAACTGCAATAACCAATTTGCCTTCTGCTTCCAACCAGGACAACCACACAAAACAGATAAATCTCTATTACTTAAAATTCTGGGGAAAAAATTCCGAAAGCCATTTTGATAGCACCTCCCTCAGGCCCTTTCAGACAGGATCTTGCTAATAAATTGCCTAGGCTAGACTCAAACTTGTAAACCTCTTGCTTCAGCCTCCTGAGTAGCTGGGATTGCAGGTGTCCACTACCATGCCAGGACTTGATAGGCTTCTACAATATTTAACAATGATTAGTTTGGGAAAGCTCTTCATAAATTCCATTTGTACTTTTCTCTATCTAACAATCTGGGTACTGTATAATTATGCTGTCATGGCCTTTAGGAATAGAACAAAACTGATTCACTGAATACTTAGCAATGATTTATGTAAAGATCATTATATCAAATGTTATAGTTACAAATGGCTTATACTTCCTCACTTTTTGGTGTTTTTTTTGGTACTGGGGATCAAACTCAGGACCGTGTGCTTGTGAGGCAGGCAGCAGAATCACTGAGCTAAATCCCCAGCCCACCCTATCACATTTTTACCTTATACTGGAAACTAAAGAAGTTCACAATAACCAAGATAAATTCAATTATCAGTAAAAATTATTTAAAAGTAAAAGTTCTAGAATAAGAATCTAAATGTATTACAAAATAAATGGCTGAAGTTTCATCATACTATCAGTAATGCTTGGTATTGAGTATTTAAAAAAAAGATAATTTTATTTGACTCAATTGTTTTCCACTTTCTAAGTCTCTAAGGACAAGACAGTCTTATTTCATTTAATAAAAAGTGGTAGTATTTGCTTTAAAAAATTTTTTTTGTTAATAACATCACATCTTTGCAATCAGCTGAAGTTCTAAAGCAAAATGAAAATGTTGAAGTTTAGCATCATTATTATAAATAAAACTTCAAAACAAATTCTGAAAGTTTTGTGGAACACTTGTCTCCCAAAGAATAAAATAAAAACTTCAGATTGTTATATTTTATGAATGTCAAATGTTTTATAATACTAAGTTTTATGTATTGTATAAAATAAATACCATCTTTAAATACACGGGAATTCATAACAGAAATCATGAAAGAATATTGGTTGAAATATACCCAGTAGGAAACTCATTTTTATTATCCAATCCTTTGATAAATGCCTCCCATGTTATAGACAAATTTGATCTTCTTTGAAATGTGCTGTCTGCTGCTTTTCTGTTTCTGTTACAGTAGCTATAAATAGTTGTTTGAGGATGTCCTTATCTAAATTCCTCCCTGCAAGCAAAACAAAACATGGTGATTATATTATGGTTATTAAAATGACATAATTCACGTATCAATTCCAGATTTTTAAATGCTTGGTGATCTTCAGAAATTTACAAAACAGTAAACTGTAACAGTGACTGAGTGATGGCCCCTCTAACTTTCTAAAGTTTCAAAACCAAACTGGTATTTAGTATAATCACTTTTCTAGAATTGTGTTGAGTAAAAGGCATAACAAGTTCATATGATGGTTATCACATGATTAAGACAAATACATTAACCATAAGCTTAGTTACAAAAGAAGATCTGATTAACACTGCTTAAGTGTGTTATACCCCTTTCAAGTCTTTTTTTTTCTTTTGAGAAATTTTACCCTTTGTCACTCACCAATAAGGACCAATCGACTTGTTCTCTCAGTGTCATCTTTCCAGCTCACTGGAGTCTCTTCCAGGTCATAGAGTTCATGGACACCTTGGACAATCATTTGTTGTGGTTTGTCTCTGATTGACACCAGTCCCTGCTCAAAGAAAAATGATCAGCCTCAACACAAATTTAAAAGCAGAAATAACTCATAAATGTAGACTACATTTTTCTATTTTTCAAAATACAAACTCCTAAAGCTGTGAAAATTATTTAATTCTAATTATTTGTGCACTGAAAAATAGTTTTTAAACCTCTAGTTTAAAAAAAGTTCTGTGTACACTGATTCTTTAAAGAATCCCCTTATCTGATAAAAAAAAAACTAATACATATGTTCTTGCACTGTTATCACAACAAAAACTGAAACAACAAAATATGTTATGTACAATAACCTGCTGACTATCCACTCAAGAATTTGATACTTGCACAGAATTAGTGGGAAAATTTGAGAAGTTAAAGGATTCTGGCAAATAATCAGTTTTGAAATGGGTTGTAACAAATGGTCTAGACAATAGTAAAAAACTATTATATTCTGTATAAAAGTTCAAAAATTAGACATTTCCAATACAAAAATTTTTGCCATATTTGTGTATTTTGAGTGTGTTTCCTTCCTGGTTTTGTTATTCTATGTCCAGTTTCATGTTCTGCTTTTTAAGTTTGAACTTTTATAATAAGAAACTCCTTGGAAAAAATTTTATGGAAATATCAATTCTGTGTTAAGTTATATAAAAATTATGAAGCATTCACTGTCACTAGAGTTACATATTAAACATGATGATGACTTTAATATTTTGTAACAGGAAAATAAAGGAAGGGAAGGCTATGAAGATAAACTGTTTTGCACCAAAATCCCTCAGTGTTTTGATAGGAGAAAGGCTAAAGGAAAAATCAAAGAGGATAATTATTAAGAAATGATCATACAAGTGCAAAATCTAGACTGAGATGGTACAAAGACAAGCCACTGAATTCTGCACAGGTCTTGATGGCAGCATTAGTGTAAATGCCCAAACCGCTGCTTTTCTAGGAAACCTAACCCCACATTCAATACCAGGAGATAAAAGCAGTCACAGAAGAAATGCTCGGACAGTTAGAATCATGGAATGTTGGTGATGCTACTGTCAAAACAGCAGCAGGATCTGGCTTAGTTCCTTTGTATGACAGTGATAAGCAAGTAGATGGGATTCACCTATGTTGTTCTGCAGTGCTAATGATAGGCAGAGCCAGCATAGTAAGTGAAGCAATCCAAATCTAAACAGTTTGTCCATAGTCTCAATCTGTTATCCTAGTAACCCCAGGATGTCAGTATACACTTGGAGAGAGAATGTAGTTATTAACAGCAATAACAACTTTATGCACATTTGGGAAATGACAAGAGCAGATACTCAAATGACTGCTGATTGAAGGATACACTTAGAACCACTGCTTTCTGGGGAAAAAAGGACTTTCATAACACATACCCAAATGTCAAGTAATATTAATGGGATTCCAAACACAGAACAAGAATTCTTCTAGTCCTCTGTAAATTTTTTCAGTATAAGACAGAATGTTCAGTGTCTGCTAAAAGCCTGAGTTTCAGCAGCAGCAGGATTTTTCACATTATTTCTTAGGGAAATTAAGTTTTCTCTAAGTGACCGATCTGTGTTCCAAGAGGAGGAGAACTTTGATGAGGCAAGTTCATTAACCAGGTAATGCTTAGAACACCTGGGGATGAGAGCAGGGACTAACACTTTCAAAACCCAGGGACTGTTTTAGCTAAAATACTAAATGAAGCTGTGCAAATAAATCATGCTTTTTGCAATAATTTTAAAGCCCCTTTTTAGTAATGGAAATGACAGAAAAGAAAGTAGACAAAGGTTATTTGTGCTAAAACCAGTACTTCTGTCTAAAAAACCAAATACAGTTTATATATAACTGCCAAAAGAAGGACTTGCCCAGAAGCCTACAAAGGTAAACTCCAAACTGCACCTTTAGCCGTGTGACCTCCATGCAGTGACCGTCCTTGTTTCTCACATTCTTTTCCCACAGGAGATTCTGTATCAAGTGACATATTTTAATAGGATCAGCCATTGCTAACAGCAACAACTATGCAACAAAACAGTTGATAAATTATTCATCAGTTAAAAATTGCATTCACCTGAATAAATACATTTAGACTTTCTTCCTTTACATTTCCTGGTACTTCAAATGTGATTGTAACAATAGTCTGTAAATCAACAGAGATAATAATCTTTTATAGCAATATCAACATATTTTTAAAAAATATAACCAGTTTTAAATTGAAAATTAAGAAACATATTAAATCTTATACCATATCTAACAATATATATTAATTCTATCCCTTCTACTTTTCTCCTTATATGTGCTGATTTGTGGAATTAGTGACTCTATTTTCTATATTCTGTAGAATCCATCAACAGTTTGGTATTTACACAAAAACATCTCCTGAAAGGGAACTCATTATTTAATTCCCCTCTTCCGGGATTCTAGCAACAAAAAGGAGTGTACCATACTGGCAGCACTGAGCCAGTGTTCTCACTTCATATTCTCATCCACTCTTCACAACAATCCTGGGGAGTAAACACAGCTATTCCCATTTTATAAATTGGGAGAAACGAGGCTCTGAAAAACAAACTATGCAGAGACAAGAGTGCGACTTAAAAGTAAAAGTATGGCCTGGTGCAGTAGTGTACACCTGCAACCCAGCTACTTAGGATGGTGAGGCAGGAGGATTGCAAGTTCGAGGCTAGCCTAAGGAACTCAGTGAGATCATATCTCAGATATTACAATAAAAAGGCCTGTAGATGTAGCTCAGTGGCAGAACACCTGCCTACCATGCCTGAAGCCCTGGGTACTGAAGAAAGAAAATTCTACTTTATCTGAAAAATAAATAAAATATTCTTTTTATCTCTAACTGAACAAGCATGCACCAAGTGGAAAAGAGTTCTGAACAATGACAATGATAGCATATCACCTTTGACTTAGGATGCTGACAACATCATTACAGAATATAGACTTTTTATTTTTCATCCTGATCGTGATAAATTTCTGTCTACTCTAAAAATCTAGAAGCTTAAGATAATCCTCTAATAGGTCTCATAATTAGATTTTAAACCTCCCCTTACCAATATAACCTAAAAATGTCAAATTTAGTGATGAAAATACACAAAGACTAGGCCTAACATAAAACACAAATTCCACCTTACATAAGACACTCACCATGCTCAAAATGGCTTCAAATAGGCATTAAGGTACAGTTTTGAAAAACTTCCTAAAATTGTTTATCTAGCCCTGCATTTTTATACACCATTAGAAAATCATATAGGATTACAGGAGAAAATACGAAAAGACCAGCACTGCTTTTAAATGCAAACTTAAGAGAATAGCTAAAAGTATTAAAGATCAATTTAGGCACAAATATATTGCTACTCAGTCTCCACTGTTACTAATATTAAGAAAAGTAGAAAATACTTCTTTCATGCTCAGATGTGAGAAATACAAGTCAACTTTTAAAAAGCTTCAAGCTGGACTTTAAAATATGAGACAATTAAAAGTACTTCTAATAGTTCCCCTATGTCCACAGGGTATATGTTCTGAGACCCTCAGTGTATGCCTGAAACTGGAGGTAATAATGAACCCAAGTGTAATGCTTTTTTCATCTTAACTGAGCACTTATTATGTACTATGGCCATAACTTTTGCAGCTTGAGGCACAGCAGCAAAATTAGCATGGAATTTATCTTCTTCACAATTTCAGAGTCTAAAGATTTAGTCTTAACACAGACCTTAGCAGCTGCAATATATATTTTCTTTCCTTATTAAATCAAGAACTTCTCTGCCTTTTAACTTAAAGCAAGCACCTTACAGCTTGTCTTTGGCATATACAAACAAATTATCAACATCACTATACTTGTGCTTTGGGGCCTAGATAAAGTAAGAGTCACCTGCCCACAGCTCTGCAATACTGAGAGGCTTGCTGAGGGACTAACAGGCAAGAAGTGCATGCAGTGTGGACATAGTGGACAATGGGAGCACTCACATCCCAAAGACGGAGTGGGATGGCGAGAAAGTTTTACCATTTTATTCAGAATGTCATGAAAATTAAAATTCTGAATACTTTATTCCTGGAATTTTCCATTTAATATTTTTGGACTACAGTTGACCACAAGTAACTGAAACTGGAAAGCAAAACCAGGGGTAGAAGGGCCGGGGATTTAGCTCAGTGGTTCCATCGCCTGCCTTGCAAGCGCAAGGTCCCGAGTTTGATCCCCAGTACCAAAAAAAAAAAAACCACAAAACAAACCCAGGGGTGGAAAACTACTGTATTCTGTTATTATAACCAAGAGGTAGAAACAACCTAAATGTCATCAATGAATGAATAAAGATGTGGGATATATAATACATATATGTGTGAATATGTTTTGGCCTTACAATAGAAAATTCTATCATATGTAGTAATATGAAGTGTTATGCTAAATGAAATAAGCTAGTAAGAAAAGGTCAAAATTTTGTATAACTGCACTTATATCAGTATCTACAATGGTCAAACTCATAGAAATTAGGGGAAAAAATGGTGGTTACCAGGTGGCAGAGGAAGACAGAAATGGGTAGGTGCTACTCAATGAGCACAGTTTTAGTCATCCATAATGCAAAACTTCTACTGATCTACTGTATAACCGTGTAGATACAGGTAACAATGCTGCATTGTACACTTAAAATATGTTAAGAGTAGATCTCAGATTAAATGCTTTTTACCACAATAAAAAGTACTAATTTTTAATTCTTAACAAACATACCCTGCTTTTAAATTATTGATGTTATAGTTTAGAATATGCATTTAAATTGATAACTTTCATTAAAGAAATCACTATAAATACCTAAAATTTCATATCAAAATATATAGCAAGAATATATTGCAAAAAGTTGCAAGTAAAACACAATTTGTCAGTTTCAAAAGATAGCAATTCAGTCTTCAAAAAACTCTTAAATATATTTTATTCATATCTTAGTCCCTCCCCACCCCACTACTGGTGACTGAGCCCAGGGCCAGTGTGCTGAGCAACTGCCCTACCACTGATCTAGGCCCCAGCCCATAACTTAGCTCTTTAATACTGACTGTGTCAACATAGGGTTCAATATACTCTTTGCTTCATTATTAGCCTAAAGATTTTTATGATTTTTTTTTCTTTTGCAGATTAGATGACTTAATATTTCTAAGAGATATAACTGATTTCAGTATGAGACCAAAAAAAAGTTAAAATTAGGATGGTGCGTAACTGGACTCAAAAAAGGCACTCTGACTTTGGAACTATGGTTTTCTACACCAATAAACTCATTTCATATTAGAAACACTATAAGGAAATGCCTCTAAAATAAAATTTTAAAACTAACTCAGGTGTGATTTGGTTTTTATTTTTTTTAACCTATGTTATTTCTCACTTTTCTACTCTTTTACAAATAGTTCCTAATATGCAATAACTTCTACATGTCTTCATCTGGAAAACGATTCAAGCCCACTACTATGTTTAAACTAAACATCTATATCTGCATAATCCAGTCCTGTAGTTGTTACTTTACTCTTCGCTGTTGTTACTTTACTCTTCGCTGGGACAAAACACCTGACATTCACAACTTAAAGGAGGAAAGTTTTATTTTGGTTCAGTTTCAGTCAATATTCAGCAGGCTTAACACGCAAATGGATGGTGGAGGAGCCTAGGTATAGGAAAGCAGCTCATATCATGGCAACTGGGGAGCAGAAAGAGAAGCGAAGAGCCAGGAAGGGAGATACACCCTTCCAGATCACCTGTCCTAGTGACCTGCCTCTTCTGACTATTCCACCTCCTAACAGCAAGTCAGCTATAATGCCCCATCACTCAATCACCTTACAAAAGTCCACCTATAAATATATGAGGCCTCTCGGCAACATTCTTGATCTACACCATAACAAGTCCTCTTACCTTGATATTTTGCTACTAGGTACAATGCTGAATATGTAGCATTTTCATCCAAGTCACTTTATCTTCCAGATGTATCTATTTCTAGGTTTCTCTAGTCGATCTAGGCTTGTTTCCTATCATTCCTTCCTCTTCTTACTGAGCCATACTCAAGTTGCTCAGGCATGTCTAGCTGTGAAACAGCTCCTGTTTTACCCCACTTCCCATCTCTGTGTAACCATAGTGAAGGCCACCATCACATGCTATTGTTATCTTCCTGCTTGCTCTCTTTTTTTTTTTTGGTACTGGGGATCGAACTCAGGTCCTTGTGCTTGCGAAGCAGGCAGCAAAACCACTGAGCTAAATCCCTGGTCCCTCTGCTTGCTCTCTTGATTCCAAAGTCCAATGCCACTTATATCAGCAGCACAGAACAGTCTAAGTTCTCTTTGCTTCAAAAATTAAAACCAATATCACAGACCAGGATTCCAGTACCAACCAACCACCATGACTTTTGCACCACAGACCTGCTCTCCTTTTCACTTTCAAACATCTGGAGTAGACTTTCCCTTACTTCTCTCTGTCAAAACAAAACAAACAAAACAAAAGCCCTACTAGTTCATGATTTCTTTTTGGTATATAAGTCAGAATAGAAGTTACTCCTCCTTTGACTAAGAAGCAGCACAAGGAAATTCTCTACAATTTTGGAAATCTTTTATTATCTTTATTTGAGAGTTATAAGGATATGTATTTATATATGCACACACACAGATATGTATATGTAAACATATGTAAAGATACATAGACTTGTACACTAAAAACTATGTTATATTAAAAAATACTATCTCTTATGACACCTCTGATGGGGCTCAGGACACTCTAACCCAAAATATGACGGCATTTGGGCAAACAGCAGAAGCAGGAAAATCACTCTCAGCTTCTCCCCTAAAGCAGGTTATCAAGCCTAGGAAAGGCTTTCTGACCTCCTAATGAAGCAGGTCATAGGACTTTCATGTGAGATGCCCTCCTAATACCCAGGGCAAAGGAGCATCCTTATCCTGAAGACAAAGGGTCACAGACAGGACTCTACCAAGCAGGCCTTGCTAAGTTCCCATCCATTTGCTATCTCGAGATCATAATCTTTTCCTTATTGTACTTCTCCCTGACTCTCCATCTTTCATCAAAAATAACACATAGGTTTACTCATTTCTTCAGGCCTTCATTATGAAGACTTCTATGTCACAAAAACTTATTACATAAAACTGTATGCTTTTCTCTTATTAATCTGTTCTGCTATAAGGATCTGAGCCATGAGCTTATTGATGGGCAAGGAAGAGATATATTTCATCCCCTATACCTCAGATCCACTAAACTAAACAAGACTATTTATGTCTTTGAATCTCATAGCTCTTAGTCTATAATACTGTATTTTGCTCTATACGTATACACCCAAAACAGGAAAGAGTATTAGAATCTCCTGTAGAGCTTTAGCAAAAAGACACGCCTTATTTACTGGTGCAGTGACATAATATCTACAATTTTCTTCAACACTCCAGCAGAGACGGTAAGTACATACAGATTCATAATGCTATTCTAGTTTTATGACTGAAATTTGTGATTTAAAAATATATACTTTTTTTTTTTTGGTACCCGGGACTGAACTCTGGTCCTTGCACTTGCGCAGCAGGTGGCAAAACAACTGAGCTAAATCCCCAGCCCTACGTGTATTTTTTAAACCCCAGCAAAGAAATGTTGGGAAGACAGATGAAATAAAATGGGCAAAATGCTGACACCATTTACATATACACAAGAAATGCATTTAACTACTATTCATTTATAAAAGATATACATTTGTATATCTTTCAACATTTCTATAGGGTTAAAATACACATTAAAATGCACATGTCCAAGAGATTTAAGGGGCAGGAACTATTGAGTATCCAAAAAAAAAGTCCACAAATGATTCTTAATTATATCTCCATTTCAGAATCATAGCTTTTCATTCTTTTAACAAGTAATTCACTGAACACTTACCAAATACCAAGTCTGTGCTAAGCAATGAACTTTATATTTAAAGAATCTATACACTAATGCAATGAAAAAGCATTTTAACCCAAACTACAAGGCATTATAAATACCATAATGGGGTACATTCACGATATAGGATCAACAAATATGGTGAACGTTTAGAATGTTTATTATTGTAAAAAACACATCAAATTAATCCCTATCAAAATATTCTCCCTCACTTTGAACACACTTATTCCACTGTTCTTGCCACTTTCTGAAGCACTTCTGGAAGTCTTTTTTTCATGACTATCTTTAGCTATGGCTGCCTCAATGTCCCAAAATGATTCAAAACATTTACGTTTCATGGTCATTTTGACTTTGGGGAAGAGCAAGAAGTTGCACAATGTTAGATCCAGTAAATAAGATGAATGAGGCCATACCATAATATTTTTATATGACAGAAATTGCCATAAACATTATCAACGAGGGATGATCGAAGAATATGGTGAATGTTTAAATTTTTAAAATTTATTACAGTGAACGTCACATTACCATGGATATCCCTCAAAATACTCCCCCTTGCTTCAAACACACTTATCCTTTCACTCTTGGCAATGTGTCTTTTACTTCATCAAGTTTTTAAAAATTTAAACATTCACTATATTTTCAACTACCTCTTGTATTATGGATATATATACTGGCCATTAGAAGATTCTTGTGAGTACTCCATTTTCTTCATTTATTTCTTCATTTTTGAACCCTTATGACTTCTAAGTATGATCTTCTTCACCCAGAAACTCAATAACAATGTGGTTCCATGGCCAGGGATTTAGCTCAGTGGTTCCACTGCCGGCCCCGCAAGCTCAGGGTCCCGAGTTTGATCCCCGGTACCAAAAAAAAAAGAATGTGATTCCAGTTCATCTTTATGACTGCTATCGAGAATCATAAAGTTATTTTTTTCCTAAAAATTTACTGCCAGAGACTTGTATTTCTCTCATTCACTTATTTTAAAGACAAACGAATATTCTATAAAGTTGTTTCTCAGAGAAAGGTACCACAAACTTGATGATATAGCTTCCTTATAAATATGAGCTAGAATGGAGACAAATGAACCAGCGGGTGCTATCATCTTGGTCCTACTACAGATGGCAATGACTCAAGAACTCCATGATCACTGCTAGAGGGAAGATGGAAGACAAGGTACACTGCTCACTCCCACACCTCCCTCTCATTGTGTTTTAAATTTAACAAAGACGTTATCCTAAAGCTCTACCATCTATGACCTGCTTGACCGAAACATGGGTGAAAATAATAGTTTGTTTCTAGCATCTTAAATTCCTACTTCAGGGATTAGAATTTTAAAGCAAGAAAAACATCCTACAGAGTTTCAAATTTATAGTGCTACCTGAAGGTCAAACTCCATCAATTTTTATTTAAATAAGCCATACTTATATCAGACATTTCCTTAATCAGTTACTTCAATATAGTTAAAAAATAGACTGTATATAGAATCCTCAGGCTGCTTTCAAGTAGAAATTCCCATCACAAGGACTGATCAGAATATGTTGAGTAATCTGCAGGAGAAACGGGAAGCACAATTTCCTAAGATTCTAAACACTTTAGAAATGTGTAGTTTGGGCCGGGGATTTAGCTCAGTGGTTTCACTGCCTGCTGTGCAAGCGCAAGGACCCAAGTTTGATTCCCGGTACCAAAAAAAAAGAGAAACATGTAGTTTGATGAGTTCCTATTACGTGTTAAGAACTTGGGTTAGATGATTTCAAAGCATTCAACATGCTGAATACACAGTTCAAAAATGCCATTTTAGAAAGAGATCTAATAAAACAGTCCTAAACATAGCCAACTTAGTGAAAGACACACTTTAAAGACATTGTTTAAGATGGTCTTTTACCTGATCAAGGTGAGGTTGTGCTGTTGGCACATACTGAAGTTTCTCCTGAAAACTAAAAACAACCAATTAAGTTCAGTGAAGAATCCAGTGTATTTAATCTTACACATTACAGAGATACAAAACTAAACAAGGAAGAGATTTTCCATAACTGAATCTATTCCATACTTCTAATTTTCCATATTCTAGTAGAGAAGTATTCTAATAGGGAATATTTATATGTTCTAAAAGAGAAAAACTTTCGACAGACTAAGCTTTTTTTTTTTGGTAGCGAGGATTGAACTCAGGACCTTGCACTTGCAAGGCAGGTGGTGGCACCACTGAGCTAAATCCCCGGCTCGAAAGATTAAGCTTTTAAAAATTTTCTTTAAAATGCACACATATTCACACATATAAATATATGCACAATAAAAAGAAAAGCTAATTTTTTAGCAACACTCTTTTGGCTAAGTATCAGTATATTTCTTTACAATTCAAATAGGTCCAATACAGGCTTATAAAAATATACATAATCATTTTAGTGCTGCTCAAAGTTTCTCAATTTTCACTATGCTTCCTAATATAAAAATAATGCTGGGAGGGGCGGGGATTTAGCTTAGTGGTTCTGCCGCCCGCCCGCCAGGCACAAGGACCCGAGTTCAATCCCCAGTACCAAAAAAAATAATAATAATGCTGGGAGCTAAAAGAGTTAAAAGAATACATTTTTCTTTATTAAGTTTCCCCCTTTCTTAAAAAATAAACTATCCATAAATACAAATGGTCTCTATAGTCAGTTAGCAGTTACGAGAAAAGTCAAAATCTCAAGAATGTACTGTTTTGATATGAAAAGAGCCAAAAGATCAATAAGGCATAACAAATTACAATCATAACAACTGTAGCACACATTTAGACACTGGTGGGGGTGGGGGGCAGGGCTTAAAACCTTGCAGATGTTTTGCCTTGAAGAACAGTGAGGGGTAAATTAGTAACAGCAAGTTTAGGAAAGAGAAGGAGGTTGTAGGAACTGTTCTAGGGAATGAGTCTCATTGGGGGGTCTTAGTAGGGAAAGTGTCAAATTAAATCCTTCCCAGCTGGTTGCTCAGGAAAGGATTCTCCTGTTTTGCAGCTAAGCAGAAAGAAAAGTTACGCAAAGGCCTTATGTATAGTGGTGGGATCACATTAAACAGCTACTTCTTCAAGTGTCACTAAAGCATTGTAACTGCTCTTTAATCAAGTGTAGAATGAGATTAGAAAATCACTGAAAAACCTATGCCTTTTCCACATGGCTAATGTTTAATGTTGGACAATGACTATGTATACCTTCATATGCAAGCAAAAGTTCAAAAATTTAACTATGATCTAAATGTTTAGTTTCTAGCAAGTTTCAGAATTTTGTGCCCTTAATTTGTTGTCTATCTTAAAAACAAAGGAAAGTACACATTACCAAAAGCTAAAATTTATGAATCAGAATACCCATTTTGCACACAGACTTGTATGTTGTTAACCATTTCTGTCTCTATACTAATAAGTGTATACATCTAAAATAGTTTAGTTTTGTATATGTCATTTAGTTCTTTTCACAGCAAGATGAAACTAGCAACTTTTCTATTTCTCCCACATAAAACGACAGAAAAACATGAAGAAGTAGATGTTTTAAAGAAAGTACCTATAACAAGAGGTAAGTAGAAAGGAAAACCAAAAATATCCTGAATATCAAAGTGAAAAATGATTTTACACTACAATCATTTTTCGCTCTCCCCATTAAGAATAAACTATTAGGAGGTGCTATTCAAATTTTATATTTCCTCCAGAGTTAGTTTCATTAATTTGTCTTCCAAGGTACTTCTTAGAAGTTGTCAAATTTATTTTAAAATAGATTTTTGAAATATGCTTTCTATATCCTTTTAAATTCTGTAAAATCTGTGGTAATGTCTCCTATATCTTGATATTGTAATTTTAAAAATGTATAATTGATATTGTGTAATAGGATGTAAAGGTCTAAAGGAGCAGGAGAAGTGGGAAGGGTAGGGGAAAGGAAAAAAGGGAAAAAACATGAGAAAAGGAAAAAAATGGCAACAAAATCTTTGCAAATAGGGAAGGGTGGAGGGGGTGAAGGGAGGGCAGGGGAAAGGGAAAAAACAAATAAGAACCAAGATACTCATGTAATGGTACAAGATCCCATTGATATATGTAAATGTATTTTATACCTAAAATGTACCAATAAACTTAATGGGGGGGGAGAATAAACTATTAGGGCCAGGGATTTAGCTCAGTGGTTCTGCTCCCTGCTCCACAAGCGCAAGAACCCAAGTTCAATCCCCAGGAACAAAACAAACAAACAAACAAAAGAATAAACTATTAAGGGATGGGGATTTAGCTCAATGGTCCCACCGGCTGCCTGGCAAGCACAAGGTCCTGAATTCAATTCCCGGTACCCACACCCCCAAAAAGAATAAACTATTAAAGAGTAAAATATATGAAGGGAAGAAATAACGACTTCAACTAAGAAGTATTTTAGTGTTTTATATTTCATGACAATTTGCAAGCTCTCAGACCCACCAGAGAAAAATTAGTTGAAGAAAAGCAAACAAGGCAGTATTATTTCATTTTCCACCCTTGTAAACACATTTAAATATGCCACAGGATCTGTAAACACCAAAACAACCTATTGCCTCAAATGAAATACAGTTCTAAGCCAGATGTGAAAGGTGAGAAAAGGGGAACATGGCCAACTGCTGAAACAGCAATTCACTACTCAAGTGAAATATACTGCAGTCTTGGATTTAGAAAAAAGGACCTGCAACACATAAGGCTGGAATGGCTTGGACTTGCGGTAATTTCAGAAATAAACAGCAAGACAAAGGCTCTTATGCTCCTAGAATTAGGAGACAGCAATAGCAAATCAGTTCCCTAGTAAAGTCAGAGCTAAAAAAGGGGAAAAGACCATTTTTAATGACAAAGTTTATGCTTAGGGTCACATTCCTTCAATTGGGTAAAGTTTTCATTTCTAAATTAGAAATACAAAAGCTTTGTATTAAAAAAAAGTGAATTTTGAATGCTTTTTGTATTACATACTCAATCATTATCAAGCTTAAATGAAATTGGGACCTAAAGCTGACATGAGAGAAAATGGTTCAGGGTGCTAAAGAGAGATTTCACAACTTCGTACACGAGTGTCCTGAAATGATATAACACACTTCTTCCATAAAGCAACAAGTAGAGACTTTGACCATATGAAATACATAGGAATTTTTTATTAGAAAAATCATCTATAATTCAAGTATACCAAAATGTTCCACTTTTCTCCTAAGTGGAACTAGAAAGGCAAATGTGGATTTTGTCAAAGTACCCGAGGAATGTCCTTGTAATTTTAATCTGTTATTTGGTTACTTTACAAAGTCCAATTCTAGAGGCTATGGGTAAAATAAGTAACTCTCAACTGAAGATCTGACTTCCAGAATGACTAGTTCTAGTCTGACATCTACAATGGCAAGTTTCAGACTAAAGAGGAGATAATCATTCTGCCGATCCTCCACTTCAGGGTGCAAAAATAATCACAATTTTTTTACACACTAAATGTGAGTTTAAATTCTCTTTTATTTGTAATGGTAAAGAGGTTCAGTAAAACACTATCATGCCCTATCTTGTAACTTTATTTTAGATGTTACTTTTAAAATGTGAACAATCTAAAGACTTAGAGGGGAAAAACTAGTTTAAAAAATTAGCTTTAGGGCCAGGGATTTAGCTCAGTGGTGCCGCTGCCTGCCTCGCAAACGCAAGGTCCCGAGTTAGATCTCTGGTACCAACACAAAAAACAAAAAAAAAATTAGTTTTAAAGGCATGGCCAAGTAGCACAGATATCTGTGTTTACTTATAGGTACATACAGGCATTACGAGTCATAAGTATAGAACGATTCACCATGCCTATCTGCAAACTAAACTGCCTTACCAATTTAAAATATCAGAAAGGTGTCCATTTTAATGATCTTATGTAGACATACTTGAGACTTAAAAAGATACTCACTGCATGCATTATAACAGCCAAAATGTGAAAACAATCTAAATACTGTATCCATCAACTAATGAATGGATAAAGTAAATGTGGTACTTAGATTAAAAGGGACTATTATTCAGCCTTTAAAAAGGGGAAGGAAATCCTGCCATATGCAACAACCTGGATGAACCCTGAGGACATTACACTAAGAGAATTAAACTAGTCACCAAAGAACAAATACTGCATAATTCACTCATAACAGGTAATTAGTAAAACCCATGGAAGCAAAGACTTCCATGGGCACAGGGAGAGGGAAAACAAGAGAGTTGTTATTTAGTGAGTAGAGAGTATAGAGATGTCTACAGTAAGCTGTAGAGATCTGTCACACAACATTATGCATATAGTTAACAATAATGTATTGTACACTCAAAAATTTGTTAGGAGGGTACATCTCATATGTTTTTACCAAAATTAAAAAAAACAGATGTTGATGTCCAGGAATAACTGATCTCTCTTCCTTCTCTTATCAAAAAGATTTCCCCGAGGAAGAGGCAGAAAGCTAATCTATAAGTTGTTTGTGTGAGCATCCCAAGCTAAAATTTTCTATGTATCGGATGCATTTTTCTATTGAAAAAGAGTATTACAGTGGTTAGCACAGAAATATTAGTAATGTATCTTTAAAATTAACTATCATTTACAATCTCTATAGAAAAATGCACTGTGATTTATAAGTGAGCAATTAACAAAACTTTCCAGTGCATACTTAAGAATGATCTTATATGCCAGAATGACAGAAAGTACTTAAATATTGAAAAAACATACCTTATTCCAGAGAGACTATCAAAGGCATGAAGATCTAATATGTTAGACAGATCAACTCTAAAAAAAGAAAAAGAAAGATCAACTTTAAAAGGAAGGAAATTCATGTGATCAGTTGAAAATTATGTAAACCATCCAATTTAGAGAAAAAACCTCTAAGACTTATCAAAACAAGCATAAAGATCAATCAAACTATAATATTTTGGAAAATACATAGAAGTGCTAGGCAAGACACAAAAATGCTATTGGAAACATTTTTCCATGTAAAATTCTTTTTTTTTTTTTTGATATCAGGGATCAAACTCAGGACCTTGCGCTTTCGAGGCAGGCGGTGGAACCACTGAACTAAATTCCCGGCCCCATGTAAAATTCTTAAAAGTGGACGAATGGTTAAGATCCAGGCAAAAAACTAAGTTACTGCTTCAGCAAACTGTAGTATTTTTTTGTTTGCATCACTCTCAATTGTTTTTTCAGTCCTGAAATCTAACTTATGAGCTTTGCAAATACTACATTTTTATTGCTTGCCACCCAAAAAATTAGCTAAAGAACTAAATCTTTACAAGCAGCTTACAAAAAAAAATGATAAAAAGAAATAACACAGTAGTATATTTATATTTGAAATATCTTTGGAGTTTTGTATTTCCTTTATTCTTTTCCCCATGATAAAACAGGTAACATAAGGCAAGGAGTCAGGGACTAAGCGGATAGCTCACTGATAGAACATGTGCTTAGCTGTCACAAGGCTGTAGGTTTGACCCCCAGCACCACCACCACCAACAAAAACAAAAACAAAAGCAAAACAAAAAGAAACACTAAGAGTCAAATAACCAGTGCATAAATATTAATTCACTCTAGGACCTACATGTGAGTTTTATTTCCTTCATTCAGAATGGGGTTGCAGGCAGAATAGTTTCCTGCTCTATCAGAACAGATATTATTTCTCTTAGAATTATTTAGTAATAAACTCTATTAGGAATGTAGTGATTCAAACCAGACGATAATAACCTGTCACAATTAGCATTAATTTTGTTTAAATACATAAAAGCAAATTCATAAAGGAAGGTGATCGGTTTCCAATTCTAACATAAGCAGAAGACAGTGACTTCTCCATATTCAAAGCTAAAATGAAAAGACTACTTAAAGAAAATGACTAAAGGGTAATTAAATTTCAAAATCAGACCAGGTGTTTGCCTAGTATTTATTAAATTTTCACAGACAAAACAAAAGCTCATTTGTCAGATTCAAGATCTTTTAAAAACACACAAACACGTAAGATAAAACATCTAACTTAGAACTGACCAGCTGTGCCTGCTTTGTTCACTTTCAGCATCTACTCTGACATCTACTCCTACTTGCAGCAACAATGTTCTGTTACATTATGAATGCTTAGCTTGGCACATACAGATGAATTCCCATTTATGAAAATAAGAATATGCCAAAGTTTTATGTTAATAGACTGTAACAACATTTCAAATTCTGGACATTCTAGATATGCTGAATTAGGAAAATAATCAAGCAAAGGAGTAACTGTCCCATGAAAAAAATTTTTGAATATCAATTTACAGTGAGACCAAAATCGTAACATTAAACACTATTTCATTTTTCACCTTCACAGTTGAGCAAATATTTATACTAACAAGTCAAAAATGAATGAAGTTTCCCAAGTTTATCTTTACAAAACAGCTTAAAGTTTATAAGGTTTGCACAGGTTAATTATGTGCAAATTTAATTCAGTTTTAAAAAGCGACCTTCTAGGGCCAGGGATTTAGCTCAGTGATTCCACCGCCTGCCTCCCAAGTGCAAGGACCCGAGTTTGATCCCCGGTACCAAAAAAAAAAAAAAAAAAGCTACCTTCTAAACACACTACTGTTTCACTGTGATGATGTCTTTGAGAATACGCATCATTTAAAGGTAAATTTGCTTTATACAGAGTCCTCTGATATTTCCCAGACAGAATCAATAATGAATCTGATCACACTCTACAGAAAATATTAAAATCTCTCACCAAATTCTCAATAAAGAATAAAAAAGAGGAAAAAACGTTGAAGCTTCCAGATAGAAGTTTTTTTTGTTTTGTTTTTGTACTGGGGATCAAACTCAGGACCTTTCACTGGCAGGCGCAGTGCCACTGAGCTAAATGTCTGGCCCAGATAGAAGTTTCTATGAACTTTCCCTGACTACAGTATTGCCATGAAAAAGAAATTCCTCACTCATTCAAAATGTATGACTAGAAAACTAATTTTCATGTTATCAAATGTGTTTAATTTCCTCCTTCAGAAATTTTTTTTAAAAATCAGCTCTTTTCCAAATACTGCAATAGAAAAAGAAAGAAAGACCATTACTATCATTGAACACATTCACAAAGGGGCCATAATTCATATGTCTTGAGGCTGGGCAGCTCTGAACCACCGGTGGTACATGCTTGACTGTCCCGTTGGGTGGCATGGACAGTCATACATATACCACCAGTGGTTCAAGCCAGTGGGAACATGTTAATAACTAAATGGGAAAGTAAAGTGGGGGAGAAGAAACTTCAAAAGTTCATTTTTCTATTTACTTATTGAAGTACACGCTGCAGGTACTATAGGGATACTCATAGTCATCTCTGCAAACTCCTGAGTCTCCCAACAGGGTGTACCAGCCAATCTCAGGTCTATGAGTTACAGGTATTGTCCAAAAAGCTCAGTCCTAAACTCTAGAAATAAATTTCCAAATGTCTTTCCAAGTGGCACCACAACGTGAACCTGCTTAAAAAACTGAACCACAGTAGTCACCTCTTCTAAACCTACTTGCCCCATCTCCCCACTCAAGCTGCTCTCCCTTACTATGTCCCATCTTGCAGAGAATTGCCCCACATTGAGTCTATCTTCCAAGAGACATACTACTTTCAAAATTCCTCACCAACTCCTTGTTGCCTGTATCAGAAAATCCAACCTATGTATCATGGTATTCAATACCCTTTGTGATGAGTTCACAATCTCCTCAGTCATATACTTTTATTTCTCTGCTATATAATCTGCTATATAATATCATGTGTTCTAATCATTCAAACACATTTACAGGTGCCTGGAATACAAAGCTTTCCCACTCTGAAATCTTTTTTTAACTTTTTTTTTTTGGTACTGGGGATCGAACTCGGGTCCTTGAGCTTGCACAGCAGGTGGCGAAACCACTGAGCTAAATCCCCAGCTGCCACTCTGAAATCTTACTAAATATAAAGTCATCCTTACTCTACCTAGTTCATCTGGATAAATCTTTTTCATTATAACTTAGATCAATGATCACCTTTCCAGTCAAAATTTTCCTGACCTTTCATCAGGAAGAGTTGAGTAGTTATTCTTTTATCTTCCTATTCTTTTTTGGTACCAGGGATTGAACTTGGGACCTTGTGCTTGTGAGGCAGGTGGCAGAACCACTGAACTAAATCCCCGGCCCTTTTTTTTTTTGGTACCAGGGATCAAACTGAGGATCTTGCGCTTGCCAGGCAGGCGGCGGAACCACTGAGCTAAATCCCCGGCCCTATCTTCCTATTCTTATGGGCCCTGTGCATTTAATATTCCTGTTGTGATTAATAATATCCAATATGTTTTTGCTTGCTTGCACATCTGATTCCCCCAAATGGCTAATCTTAAAGGCAATTTTTGCCTTATTGTTTAAATCTTCAATCTGCTATGAAATGCCTAGTAATCAGTAAAATGTTCAGTATAGTCTGTTTGAATTAATTTATTACTGACCAACTGTGTTTTGGTTTTCCTTTGTTTAGTTCATTTAAATCTCTAAAGATGAAAAAAAGCCGGGCTGGGGATTTAGCTCAATGGCACCATGCTTCATACAAAGTCCTAAGTTCAATCTCCAATACAGAAAAAAAAAAAAGAAAAAAGAAAAAAAGGCCCCAAAAGATAATGGCATGTCTTCTAACCTTCCTACTTCTGAAGTCAGTATGGTCCCCTAAAACTCCTACAGTACTTGCCTCTAAATCAACTCAAACCTTACTAATAAGACAATGTTATATACCATTTGCCTTCTTCCCTCCTTCTGTTTATCTCTCCCTCCCTGCCTCCCTCCCTCCCTCCCTCATCTCCTTTCTTCCTCCCTTCTTCCTTCCCTACCTGGTCTCTCTCCCTTCTTCCTTCCCTCTCTCCCTCTTTTCCTTTATTTCTTCCAGGCAGTGGGGATTGGACTCATGGACTCATACATGCTAGGTAAGCACTCTACCACTGAGCTGTATCTCCAGCCCTTACACTCAAAGAGAGCCTTCTCCTACACATGCTTCTATTTGTTTTACTTTTGTCAGTGTTTGTCAACCTCAAAATAGTAAAGGAATTAAAATTTAAAAAATAAATATATGAAACAAAACTTCTATCAAAGTGATTTCAGCTATTTTTCTAAGAACCAAACCTCTAGTCTCTAAACTGGGAAGCTCAAGTTGCTATGCCTCAAAGAAATCTGGGAAGTATTTAACATCAGATTCACAATCCAGTAGAAGAATTATACTATGAATAGCCTGTCTTCACAAAAGATTCTAACCCAACTTTGGTCCTCATAACAAGTTCTTTTTCAGAAGGCCCCTAGATTCTTAGATGCACGGACAGTTAGCACTACTGAAGACCAGAAGGAAAAAGACTTTATTCACTTATTCATTCACCCTAGTTTAAAGGCCCAATTAACAACAGCATGTTTACTATTCCTTAATAGAGCAAATGTTAGATAGAAGTGGTAAAACTTTTACATAATAAACTAATCAAGATATGGATTACTGCTACTCAGGATATGGATATTTCCTCTACTCAGGATATGGATATTTCCAAATTGAAAACAAAAGAAAATTGATTTAAAATGATTGTAAGAACTGAAAAAATGCCATTACAGAATCACAACTATTTATGGATATGATTTTAAAAGCTTATTTAAGCATCCTGTGGTTGTCTGTCACTTAGAAAAATTAAAAAGGACATGTAAAATACAAAACAAATCATAGTATGAATTAGATAATCAGATTTCTACAATGGAATTTGAAATGTAGGGAGCACATTTGGTATATGTTTGTAGAGGACTTACACTAAGGGTATTCTACTACCTCTGTAAGCAGATGGGTGGCTCCTGAGAATGCATTCCAAATGAATTCCCCAGCTGTTCACATGCTTATAAGCAGCTGCTGCTGTTACTGTCTAACACTTCCTGTAGTCTGTCAGCACCTCCAATCTTGGCCATACCAGACAAGCCACTCAGCTAAGGCCTCTGCTGCAATTTCAAGGAAAAAAAATCTCTCAACTAGGGACTGGGTGGCACTAGGCTGCCAGCTATGAGCCTCAGAGCTGCTGGCTGTTCCTTGTAGAGTCTATCAGCTGCTGAGCCTTTCTCACCAAAAAATGAGATTAACAAAATACCTTCATACAGGAATTTTCTGAAATCATGACAGCACTCAGTGGAAAATGGTTCAATTTACAACAATAAATTTCACAGGTGTTTTAAGAGTATCTCTACTAATATACAGCTAAATGAACAGAACAAAAGAGAAAAGTATCTAAAGAAAATGGAAATCAAAATTTAACAAAGAAATGTACTGGAAAGAAGGGTAAAAATTTCATGTATTTTTACATGAGAAATTTTTTGGCAACTACAAAACACTAAGGGAGTTTCAAAAATATTAATAGGCCATTTAAATAGCTCAAATTAAGACTTCCATATACTTTTTCATATTTGTACACTGATTTACCTGCTTGAGTGGTTGGAGCTCTTATGTAATTTTATTAAACAAAAACAGTTACACAGCACTATCATGGCTCTGTAGTCTTAATTATAAAAAACAGGCAAAGGTATTAACTAAATATGCCAAACTAATTAATTTAGAACATTCAAAACATTTTGGGGTTCCATTTTTTAAAGTATACCTATATCTTTCTGATATTATCAAGTATATTTATCGATTACTTAACGTTTATAATTAACTATTTGCTGTTAGTATTAGTAATAGCTTTATAAAAATACCTTGATCTTTGTGTTTCTAAAATTTGTCCTAGTCCATTTATTGATCTGAAATAAAAAATAGTGAAAGAGAAGGTAAAAATCCAAATGTTAACTTTTTAGAAAAGCATATAAATCACATTATTTCTAAAACTGAAATTAAACAAATACAACTGGAACTAAAAAAAATTGAAAATAGAAAACAAAATTTGTGAGCCCGCTGCAGACAGGCAGGTCTGTGCACGCCCTGCCAAGGTCCTGAGTCCCGCGGAAGACACCGAATCACCCCACTGCAGACAGGCAGGTCTGCCCACACCCTAACGAGGTCCCCAGTCCCGCGGAACACACCGAATCAGCCCGCTGCAGACAGGCAGGTCTGTGCACGCCCTACCAAGGTCCTGAGTCACGCAGAAGACGCCGTATCACCCTGCTGCAGACAGGCAGGTCTGCCCACACCCTAATGAGGTCCCCAGTCCCGAGGAACACACGCCGAATCAGCCCACTGCAGACAGGCAGGTCTGAGCACGCCCTACCGAGGTCCTGAGTCACGCGGGAGACGCCGAATCACCCCACTGCAGACAGGCAGCCACCTGATTCCACATTATCAAGGCTCAGAGGACACCAGACCACCAGACCAAGGTACTCAGTCCCACTGTTCCCGGCCCAGAGGTAGGGGCTTCTGAGCCGTCGTCCCACTGCTCCTGGTCCAGAGGAAGGGGCTTCCCGGTCACCATCCCTCCCGCTGCTCCCAGCCCAGAGGAAAGGGCTTT